TAACAGTGATTGTGAGGATGGCACAGGATCTGGCAGTGTTTCATTCTGCTGTACACAGATAGGGTCACTATGAGTTGGAACTGACTTGACGGCACTTAACACCAACAAGATGGGTACTCCTTATACAGAATTCTACTTTGCAGTAAAGTGTTCACATGTAATTGCTAACATCTCTTTGAAAGCAACAACGTTACGCTGAGTTTTTAAAAAGGAGGAAAGCTATAAAATAGAGATACCAATGTCTCATTATTAAAAAAAAACACCAGTGCATACTAAGTCATACATGATATAAGCAGAAAAAATACTTTGACACTGCATTTGAGAGTGGGATGTCAAACTATAGAACTCTTTCCTCTTCTGTTTCAATAAAAAACCAGATAAGTTAGAAATTAACTAAGGGGGATGTTTATACTCATTCTATATGCTACTTATGCATTTAAAGGATTACAAATTAGGATTTTTTTTTTCATTTCTAAATAATTTTGCCTTATCTTTTTGCTAGTCATTAACTGATCCCTGGGAGTTCTGCGGTGGCACAAATGGAAAGGTTGGCACTTCAAACCCACCCAGGCAATCTAGCCTGGCAATCTGCTTCTGAAAGGTCACAGCCTTGAAAACTCTATGGAGCAGTTCTACTCTGACACATGGGATTACTGAGTTGCAATCGACTTGACAGCAACTAACAACAACTGATCTGTAAGATTTTCTTCCAGTACTACTACTAAAACCACCTGAACTGAACATTTGTCTGAATAAGAGACAATTTACAAGGCACCACAGGAAATGTCAAAAAATTTTTTGTGTTACCACTCAGAGAGGTATGATGGTATAGCAGCTACCAAAAAAAACCTCAAACCCGTTGCTGTCAAGTTGATTCCGACTCAGAGACACCCTATAGGACAGAGTAGAATTGCCCCATAGATACAGTTTCCAAGGAGCGGCTGGTGGATTCAAACTGCTGACCTTTTGGTTAGCAGCCCAAGCTCTTAACCAGGGCTCTGGTATAGCAGCTAAGCCTAAACTAAGTCAAGGAAGAAACCGGACCTTCATTGCCTCTATGCAAGACAGCATTCACCAGATTTAGGGGGTAGAAGTGACTGGTGGAGAACAAGATGTACCTCTGTTATGATGGCTTTTTGGTCCTTGACCCTTTGTGCCTCCTCTGGGTCCTGTTCCAGGCTGAAGACTCTAGAGAGGGACACTGGTTTTCCACTTCTGCACAGGACTGCTTGGCAGGTACCAACATTGGCCACAGTCAAGCTAAAACTACTCATTGGATCGGCAGTGTCAGGTCGGATATAACAGAGGAGAGCAGAGGAGCCCAGCTTCTGGCCAGCCATTCCTAATTTTCTGTTTAGAAAGAAAAGAAAATGAAGACTTGGTAGCTAGAAGAAAGCAGGATGTGCTTTAAATATTAGTCTTGAAAAACATCTATGGAGGGCCTTCAGAAGGATAGAGGTAAGTGGTTTCCTAGTTTTTCTGCCATGTGATTATGAACTAGCCTTATCCTTAACCACCTAAAGGCAGTCTCTGGCTATGGGTGATGCTGGTGAAGAGAATTTTGCCTTCCATTCTTAGCTGACTGCATTTTCAAAAAGGGTAGGGGGCAGGGAGGGACAATGAAGGTACATCTTTCTCTGCTGCTTCTGCTTGTATCTGGTCATAGACTACAATTACCTAATTTAGTGGTTCTCAATCTTTACCACATCAAAATCATCTGTAGGGCTTATTGAAACACAGATTGCTCAGCCCCACATCCAGAGTTTCTGATTCAGTAGTTAAGGGGCTGGTCCAATAATCTGCATTTCTAACACACTTCCAGGGGATGCTGAGGTTTCTGGTCTTGAGACAGTACTTTGAGAACCACAGACTTAAGACTGTAAGCTCCTTGAGGTAACGATCATAATTCTTGTATTTTCCCTACATATGGTGTCCATCCCCCAGCACTTAGTACACAATGCTAAGCATAGAGTAGATGCTATCAGAGGATCTAGTTTCAAATCCCAGCTCTGCTATTTACTGGTTGTGGACCCTCAGGCAAGTTATTGAATTTCTCTAATAAAATACCCACCTTCTAGACTTGTTTTAAAAATTAAAGATACAGTATGAAAAAATGCTTGGTACAATGGTTGGCTCTTGAGAGGTGCTTAATTGAGTTCCCTTTCCCAAACCCTTTTCTTTACACCAAGTCCTTAGCTCAATTCTACTACTGAAAAATAGACTCCTTTCCCAAGGTCATCATAACTGTCCAGGCTCCTTAATGTTATAATGACAGAGAAAACCAGTTCAAGTTCCAAGCTGTTCTATTTCAACCTTTACTATCCAAATTCACAATCTCTCAGTTGTGGGTATCCTTTATACAGCTCAACTGATATGCAAAATGTCCAGCCTCTAAGAGATTTCCAATAATTTGGTTATACAGGGCTTTTGCCCTTAAGTAGTTTAGACTTTAATGAGATTAATTGGGTAAACCCTCAATAAGAAGTATTCAAAACACAAGTATCTGATCAGTGTTTGTTAACCTTTCACAGGTCACTGATTCTGGAATCTTATGAAAGCTTAGAACTCTCCTTCCCCCAAATGTACAAACACATGCACATACACCACCTTTCGTACATAATTTCTGGGCTTTCCAGAGCCTCAGGAGCCTTTGGGATGGAAAAAAAAAAACAGATGACTCCACAGGCTCTTTAAAGAGCCCAAGTCCCCATGCTTATAGAGAGAGAACAATAATGAAAGAAGGCACAAGATCTCTCTTTGGTCCTATCTCCATAATATAGACCCTAACCTTGAGTTAGAGATTACTTTCCAAAAGTAGAACTGAGTTAGGGATTATTCAACCCACCTGCTTACCTGTGAGATACCAAGAAGGTGTTAGTCATGAAAACTGTGTCATTTGTTGACTGCTGTACCTCTTCCAAAAGCACATCTGCCATTGTACACTGCAGTAAGCGAGGGAGCTCCTCATTTCGGTCCCCATCAAACATGCCATACACAGCTCCCACCCCCTCTGCAAAGTTATCCACAGCTAGGGCAGATATACAAAGCCTATAACAGACAGATGAGAAAGGCAAACATTAAAGAAAGTTATTGGTAGATTATGCTTCAGAGAGCCTTCTTTAAAAAAAGTTAAGTATTAATTGGGGTGGAAAAGAATAGTAGTAAATCCTAATCTGTACATGAAAACAGTCTCTAGATAAGATAATTTAGGCAGCATCTGAAAGTAGATGTCATAAGGAAAAGGGGAATTTGGCCACATTCTTTCATAGTACGTATTATCTGCAATATTGCCAAGGGCTAGAAAGATAAAATACCTTCTCTCTTAGTAGTGATTAAGGACTTGTCAATATAGGAGCCCTGGTGGCGCAATGGTTAAGCACTAACCAAAGTTGCTAACCAAAAGGTCAGCATTTTGAACCTACCCAGCAGCTCCATGGGAGAAAAGACCTGGTGATCTGTTCTCGTAAAGATTACAGCCTAGGAAACCCTACGGGGCAGTTCTACTCTGTCATATAGGATTGTTATGAGTCAGAATCCATTCATCTCCATGGCAGCAAACAACAACATTGTCAATATCCTTCAGCCAAAGATTACCAATATCACACCTGTAGTTGAACAAGTTGGCTTTATTACTCATTGCAGCAAGGAGAACTGTAGAGCATGTAGGTAGGAGGGCACTGGAAAGAATCTACTACAAGATTTGGGATTTGTTGGGTAATTTTGGGGAGGGTCTAAGGAAATGGGAAATTGTACTATATTGAGTGCTGTCAGAGAGTGGGGACCATTCTATGATTGGTTAACTCAATAAATCTTATCTATAGGGAAGGGAGATTAGTGGGAGGATAAAGCTGTAATTGGTAAAGAAGTAGCCATCATCTGCTTTAGCCAAGAGAGGGGGTGTTTGGTATTTTACAGGCTGCACACTGATCTGGTTTTTGTCTCACTTTATCACAGTCTCAGAGGGATCTTATCCAATGCTCATGTTCTGTGATTTGTGTATGTCCCGCAGAAGAACAGCATGGCCTAGCTGTGAGCACCAAACTGGCTCCTAGATGTCAGGGGCTGCCTTTTTTCTTTCTCAGTATCCATGACTAACAAACTCACTTATTTCTCTGCCCTGCCATCTCAGCCAGTCCATGGCTCCAGAAGGTTGATGTGACTGTAGAATCAGTGGTTGGCAAAGGTTTCTGATCAATTTTCAGAGTTGTGATATGGCTGTGGGAGGTAGGAGAAGGGAAGATTAAACCATGTACTTGTCTCTATTTTACAAAACTACCACAACAACAATACATTTTATAAAATAATCAGTTGACAGACTAAGATTCATTTCCAGATAGACTGAATGAAAGTGGGTGTTGAACCACTGGCCAAGGAGGAGGAGAGAGAAAGAAAAGGAGTAGGCAGAAGAAATAGGGGCCAAATATCATTACAACTAGTGCCATTCGTGTCAATGAAAAACTAAGCACAACAAGATTTTTGAGTTCCAGCCAAATGTCTACTAAGTTTTTTGATACAATGAAATCTTGGTACAATGAATGAACTTGTATTTTCTCTTAGATGTAATGTGATCTGTGCCAACTAAAATATCTATGCTGGCTATGTAAAGTATTCAGTATGTGGCTCAAGTCCTAAAATAAATGGTCTGCTACTAGATAGAACATCCACACGGAACTGAATCAAAGAAGAGACACGGGCTTTATGGCTAATTCACTCTATTCCTTTAATCAAGATCTCCACCATGCTTAAGAAGACCCACACCCAGCCGGTGGGACTAACAGCATGTGTGAATTCAATTTCAGAATTTTTCCTACCTAAATATGTCCAGGGTCTTGTGTTCTAGAACCAGATTTGTATTTCCAGTCAGATCAAGATCTTGTAATGTAGCAGGCAGAGCCTCTGGAATCAGGATTTCTGTTAAGTCATTGCAACTTAGATCTACAAACTGAGAGGAAAATGAAGAAATCAAAACAAAATACAACAAAGAGTTAATTCTTTACTCCCAAACACTCAATCTTCGACTCTCTCCTCAAAGGGGAATTTAGATTCTTCCCAGTAGTCATTTAAGTATATTGTGGTTCCAATCTGCCACTTTCTTCTTCCTATTCAGGGAACAATCATATTCACACTCCTGTCACATCCCCCAAGGACATCATTCCAGCACATAAAGGTACCTGGATCTGAGGCAACTGCAGTATTTCTGGGAAAATGTTGATGTTGTTGGAGTGTGCAACAAGGGTGTGCAGCCTTTTGCAGTTTGCTATGGTTGTGGGAATGGTTTTTAGCTTGTTGCCACTTAGGTTCAATTCTTCCAGTTGCTCCAATTTATTGAGTTTGCTGAAAAGGAAACACCAAAATACCATACTGCACCAAAAATGAACAGCTGCCAAGCAAGTGTTATTTTACAACAGTTCCCGTGTCACTAAATGCTTTTCTACAGTATCATCTTAAATGTCCGGGTGGGCTTTTCTCAACCTGGGTTCCATGAGAGAATTACGTAAGCCAAATAAAGAATAATTTGAATGATTATTTTCTCAATTCTTCCAAGGACAGTACCTAGCCAAGCCAGTGTCACTGAGTTGATTCCGACAGTACCTAGCTAGAACCATTTGAAATGCACAAGAAATTCATCAATCTATCATATATTCATTACATACAATGGACATCTTAGGGTACTAGAGCTTAATTTTTTTCAAGGAACCTTGTTTGAGAAGTACTGGTATGGAGAGTAGTTCACCATAAGGATGTTTCATAATTTATTTAATGAATTCCAAATTGTTTGATAATATTTAGGTTGTCTCTAATCTTCTGATTTTACAACAAATGCTACAAAAAATACTTTTTATTCATGGCACAAAAGTGTGAGTATATCTGTAGGATAAATCCCATTTACATTGTTGCTATGTTGTACCTATTGCAAACAAAAGATTATATATATATATTAGCACTAGCTCAGTGAATGTTCGCATTCCTAGAAGATATCTGTGAATAAGTACTCCCATTCTAATTACCCTCCAGAGCCTTCAGAGCTAGAGGTGCTTCCACTCTTCTACATTTTTTGTTCCTTCCTACTGGTAATATTTCATCCTTCTTTATTGTTCTACCTCCTCTCTCTTTAGTCTTATCTTATAGATATCCACTTCAATTTTTTCTTCCTTTACCCTAGTAACTGCTATGTTTCTAATACTGGCTTTTGACTCCTTGAATAATCTTTTAACATTTTTTAATTGAGAGAGATTCTGCGTAGTCACTTTCAAATATATTTCTTTTAATATGGACAACATAGTAGATTTTATCTCCATTTTCAAGATACAGAGAGATTAAATGATATGGGTTACAAATGACAGAGCCACGATTCTAACCCATGTCTTCTGATTCTAAATCTCATGCTTTTCTTTGATACTATTCCTTGCTCAGATCTTTCTAACTTATTAATAGAAATTCAGTAACCCCATCTCAGTCTCTTACTGAGTAGCCAGAACTATGCTAGGTTCTGAAAATGGTCCAAAAGATACGGAAGATTTAGATTGTACCTGTGCACTTATAACACTGCTCAGGAGATGACCTGACCACAGATTTACTATTCAGCTCAGCTGCTAACTGAAAGGTCAGTGGTTCAAACCCACCAGCCACTCCATGGGAAAAAGATGTGGTAGTCTGCTTCTGGAAAGATCACAGCCTTGGAAACCCTGTGGGGCAGTTCTACTCTTTCCTATAGGGTTACTATGAGTCGGAATCAACTCAATGGCAATAGGGGTATCCTTTACCTAGTTTTCCTCCAATCGTTACATCTTACATAACTATAACCAGTTGTGGCTGAGTCAATTCTGATTAATGGTGGCCCCATGTGTGTCATAGAACTCTGCTCCAGAGGGCTTTCAATGGCTGATTTTTCAGAAGTAGATTGCCAGACTTTTCTTTCAAGGGAACTCTGGGTGGAGTCCAACCTCCAACATTTCAGTTAGCAGCTCAGCACGTTACCTGTACCACCCGGGGACTGCTACATAACTATATTGTTGTTGTTGTTGTGTGCCATCAATATAAAAACCAGGAAATTGATACTGGTATGTGTGTATAACTATATGTCATTTTTTTTCACTATGGTAAATATAACAAAACATTTGACATTTCAACATTCTTCATATATACAGTTTAGTGACATAACTTATGTTCATCATGTTATTCAGCCATCACCCTTATCTGTTCCCAAATTTTCCCATCACCCTTAATAGAAGCTCCCCTAAGCATTGAGTCCTCCTTTCCTCATCCCTCCCACCTGCCCCTAGTAACCACTAATAAATTTTGGTCTGTATATACTTACCTATTCTAGACATTTCCTGTAAGTAGGATCATACAATATTTGTCCTTTTGTGACTGGCTTATTTCACTCGGTATAATGTTTTCAAGGTTTATCTATGCTGTAACATGTATAGGACTTCATTTCTCTTAATAGCTGAGTAATACTTCACTGCATGTATGTACCACATTTTATTTATCCATTTATCTGCTGGTGGACATTTAGGCTGTTTTCTCCTTTTGGCTATGGTGAATAGTGCTTCAACGAACACTGCCATACAACCCGTCTTATCTTTAATACTCTGCATTTATATGCACTGCCCTGCAATTGTCTGTATACTTGTCTGTTTCCCCAGTCTGAGTGTAAGCTCCTTAAGGGCAGAGACTGTAACTTAATCATTGCTGTTCCCTCCTAGTATTTACACAGCACCTCGCATACAGTAGACATTCAATACACATATTATCAATAAATTAATGGACTCAACAGTATTTTATAAAACAGTGCTGACAAGAGAAAAGAAAAAAATTGCTTCCAGAATTTATTTCATAAAGCCTGTACTTTTCTAAGTTGGGCATTGTGAGTCCACTATTAAGTAATTAAAACTAAAGATTAAACACATTTTAACCACAATTTCTCTGGTTACTGATACTTAAAAACTGGGTACAAACTATTAAGATGAGATTTTCCCATTCCACTAGTGAGAGATCCCAGCATCAGTAAGTCACTAAACATAAAGCAAGAGCACAAAGAAAGATAGCTCTAACTCAGTCTAACAAATGTAGAATTAATGTTACGTGTCTGAAATGATCAAAGTTTTCAGGCATTTACCTTGCTGGAAAGGTCTGTAGCTGATTGTTTGCAAGATGCAAGATTCGCAGGTGGGGATGCCCCACCAGCACAGGTATACACTCATCTGTCAGGAGATTGCTGGTCAGGTAAAGCAGCTGCAGCATACTCAGACTCTCCTCCCCAGTGCAAGCAGATGGTAAAGACTCCAGTCTATTTGCAGATGCATTCAAGTACCTGAGACTGACAGAACACCAATGATCCCTTCATGTTTATTTATTGCCTCCTTATGTAGAAATCATCATACCATCTCAGTATGAAACACTGTCATTCCATGCTCCCAAACTTGTGACAGAAGTCATCTTCTCCAGGTAGTTTTCTCTAATTGAGTCAACCCAACCCAAAGTTCCTTTTACTCAACTTATGCAAGCCAAGCAGAGAAGAAACAAATATAAGCTTGGATGGTTGTTTCCCCAGACTTCTGTAGTGGCCCGATCCTAACTTAGCTTCATCTCTTATCTATGTGTCTACTAAAAGGATGATGTGGACTATGATGTTCACATATATTTCAACTATGAAGACTCCCTTCAGAAAAATTCTTGTCTGATTTTAATGGCATCATAATTTTTTAGCCATATAATCCCCTACTAATGGACATGTAGGCTGTTTCTAGTTGTTTGCTATTATAGACCTTGTAATGAGCACCTTTGTGTTCTTATCTAGACTATTTTCCCGAAAGTAGGATTTGTGTGGTCAAAGGATACACATATATTTAACATTTTTATATATATTGCCAAACTGCGCTCCAGCAAGGCTATACCAAATTCTGCTTTCACTAGTAGTATGTAAGAATGCCAGTTTGCTCACACCTTTGTAAACAGTGAGTACCATAATTCATTTAAATTTTTTTAAATCTAATAGATGATAGATGAAAACACAGTATGATTTTAAAAATTTGCCTAGCACAGTGCTTGGTATATACAGAACATGCTCAATAAAAGACAGCTAATATTAACAAACTTGTTTATTTTTAACTCTTCTTCCTGTTATGAGATCTACACCCCTAAATAGCTTTTAAGATTAAGGGTACTGTGTGTCTGCTCGTATCTTTGCATGCTCCAAAACTGCACTGTGCAGTGACTCAAATAACTATCACCGACAGTTTGCTACAGCTGCTGAGTAACTTCCTTACTACAAATTCTAAAGTTGTAAACTTTTATTCAGACTGCCACTAGCACAAATGCAGTGTTATGCATTGCTAACAAACATTTGTTGGTGAACAAATGTTACTGCATCAAGACTCCATATAAACTTTCCAAAAAGAAATTTCCTTCAAGTAGTTTTTAGAATTTCCGAAGATTTTATTTTTAGGAAAATCAAACCAAGTGTATTACACATTAAGAGATGTATATGCTGTTCAGCAGAGAACACTTGCAGGCTGAATGCATTCTGTGTGTCTCCTGTAGCCTTATGTCAAATTAGTACTGCTGATTGGAGCCTTGGTAGCACAGTGGTTAAGAGCTACGGCTGCTAACGGAAAGGCTGGCAGTTTGAATCCACCAGCCACTCCTCGGAAACCCTATGTGGGCAGTTCTACTCTGTTCTATAGTGTTTCTATGAGTCAGTTGGAATTGACTCGATGGCAACAGGTTTTTTGTTTTTTTGTTTTGATCTTTGTTTTCTCCATTTCTAAACTGAGGACAATACTGCCTTCTCCATATTGCAGAAGACTATAATTAAGAACTAGATTTCATTTAAAAGTGGCACACACATTAGATAAACCTGATTACGGATCTTAAAATGGGAAGACATACAATCTATTTACTTTACAACGAGAAGATAAACAACACCTTTTGGAAAGGTGTTACCTTTAAATGCACAGTTTTCAAAGAAGGTAGTAAAAAAATCAATCTGCAAATAAAGAATGTCACTCAGTGATAGCTTGGTAAAGCTAGGAGCAAAATCTAAATTAACTTCAGTAGTGTGTCCTCTTCTCCCCAGTGCAAAAGCTGAAGATTGCTCCACGAAGCTGTATCAGAATGCTGTAACTTTCTTTAAAGGTCATACCTGTATTCATTTTCTGAGATGAAAGCCTGAACCTTCCCAATCTGTTTGAAATTGTTTACAACACAAAAACTTTCTTAAGTATTTGATGGTTCTTTAACTTTGCTTTGAAGATTATTACCTCAAGAAACAGTATCCTATTCTCTTTTATACAAATTGCAAATTAAGTCTCCACCCATAATTGAACTATCAGCTAAACACTCTGTAAATACAGTTCCAAAGGGCACTCCACAGACAAGTCAGTGCAATTTGTCTTGTCAATGATTCTGCTACTCTAAAAAAAAATTCTGTAGTACTTACTTTAAGGCCTTGGAGAAAAGGGTATCTGGCAGCCTGGTGAGTAAGTTATGCTGAATGTCCAACACCTCAAGGGGGATGTGCTCCATCAGCACAGGAAGGTTTTGCACATGGTTGTGTCCCACCATCAGTTTTCTAAGACTCAAGCTACTCAGAATTCTAAGGGGGAACAGTACAAAGAACAAAATAAAAAATTTACTGAATGCTTCCTTCTGAGTCTGCTCTAGGCTATTTAACTAAAACCAGTAAAAACAGAAACACTGTCTTAAGACAGCATAATTCTGGACAAGTGTCTGAGCCAAGAAAGCAGCCTCAATCATATGTTTACTCACTCACTATCCATGAGGAAGACATTAAGGTCTTTTTGAGAAAAGGTACATTAATAAAAGCAAACAGCACAGAACAGATCTAAACTAAAAAAAGCAATTTTTAGAATAAATCAGTTTAGATTTTTGGTCTAGACAGATAGCACCAAAAGCCCAGTGTAATTACTTATCAATATTAATATAAGTGATTAGTATAATACAGTAATAACAAAATTTATTATAACAAAAACTACTGTTTCTCAAGTGCTTAAAATGTGCTAGGCGATTTAACAATGAAGTTCAGGAAGGTTAACTGACCTTGATTTGCCAAAGATTTCACACTTAATGTAGTAAGTGGTACCAGCAGGATTTGAAGTAAGGCTGGATTCTAAAGGCTGTGTTTATACCTAGTATTCTACAAAGCCTCTAGTTTAAAAGACTCCTTTAGTGCTAACCACATGTTTTCCGCCTCAGTGCTTTTGAATGTATCATTTTTTCCCTGAATGCCACTCTCTTTTCACTTTCACTTACAGAAATCCCATTCATCCAGTAAAGGTCAACTTAAACACCATCTCCTCCATGAAGCATTATTCAAAGTTCTTCTGAATTTCTAAAATATACAGTGTAGTAACTAAGAGTGATGGCTCTAAAGTAAGAATGATTACATTCAAATGCCAGTTCCCATCACTTCCTAGTTGTGTGTAACCTTGAGCATTTACCATACTAAGCCTTAGTTTCCTCATCTGTAAAATGGGAATACCACCACCTATATCGTAAGGTTAAGGATTAAATAAGATAATACAGGTAAAATTCTAAGAACATTGCCCAGCTCATAATAACTCATCCAATTAAAGTTATCCATTATTATTATTATATCACCAACCTATGCCAACAACTCTGGTTATTGTTTATCACAGTAATCTGTGCATGTCACCTCTTCTACCCTCTTATTAAGTTCCTTGAAGGATAAGATCACGCTCTGACCACTGTTGTATTCCTTAAAGCACTCACACTGCCTTGCACTCAGCAGGTACTCCATATTCTCTGAGCAAATAAATGAAAGTACCTTTGAAAGGCAACCCAAATCTATAGAAATCATTAAACATATACATACATACATATATAATATATACATTTATACACACACACACACACCTCATGGAAACCTCTGTGAGGAGATTATAGCTGACATCTAATATTTCTATCTTCTTTGCTTCACAGGCCCAGTCAGGGACACACTCTAGCAGGTTTCTGAAGAAAATAATAATTAAAAGGCAGCATTTAAGATGATGAGTGGAACTCATTACACTGAATGGTAATATATCTATTAACCAGCCCAGTAGCTCCTTGAGGGCAGGAACACTATGTCCAAAGCATCCCTGGCACATATCCCTGCAACACAGTAGGTTGTTAAGAGGGGTTGGGGGAGACAATACAGGAACATATTTAATACTGGATTATGATGTATGCTCAAAGAAGGTAAAAAGCATCAGGCTTTCACCATTGGGAAAGCCCACACATGATGGAAGAAGTGTCATTTTAAACAAGGCTTACAAGATGAGTAGGATTTCAACTGTGGAAGAACAGAAACAAACTCTGGGGAAAATGCACAGAATGATTAAAAGTGTCGGGAGTATACCTGGTAAGGGAAAAAAGTAAAAAGTTTCAAACCATTTAGAATGTGAACTTAAATATTTAGTACAGCACTGGGTGGATACTTAAAAGAGAATTTTTATTTTCAAAGTTACTTAGTTTCTCTAGGCCTACGTATCTATTTATCTATCTATATACTGAGGAAATGAAATAAGTACTATAACAGAAACACAGACACTGCTATGATAGCCTAGTGAAAGGAACACGTTGCCTGAAACAGATCAAGACAAGCTTCCTAAGGAGGATGACATCTGGGCTAGAACTTGAAGAATGCTGTACAACGACCTGAGGTGAGGAAGACATTCCAAGCAACAGATGACAACATGAGCTAGGGTACAGAGGCAAGAAATGAAATACCTGGTGTATGTAGAGAATAATAAGAAGTTTAGTGATGCTGAAGCATCAAATATGGAGCAGAAAGTGGTAACAGACAAGGCTGGAAAGCCGGGATGGGACTGGTTATAAATCATGTTTAGAAATTTATGACTTTATCCTGCAAATATTGGAGGATCACTGAAGGGTTTGTAAACAGTGGAGAGACAATGTCAGTTTTACACTTTAAATAAATCACTCTACAGCTACATAGAGGTCTGACCGATGGGATTATATTGGTAAAATGAAGAATAATCAGGAAACTGTTGCAGAAATCCAGATAAGAAATGATATGGGCCTAAGTAAGCTGAGTGGTAATGTAGATGGAGGGGAGAGGATGGAGTCCAGAAATATTTTGGAGGCAAAAATCAAAAGAAGCTGAAGATGGATTAGATATAGTAGTGGAGCAGAAGGAAGAATCAACAATGTCTCTCAGGTTTCTAGCCTGGATGACCACAGAGATAATGCCAAATGCTGAAACAGGCAAAACGAGACAAGTTAAGAAGGGGAGGAGGGTGAATAAGGAGTTTAATTTTGCACATATATATATTTTGAGCTACCTATAGGATATGTGGAGTCCTGGTGGTGCAGTGATTAAGAGCTCAGCTGCTAACCTAAAGGTCAGCAGGAATTCAAATCCACCAGCTGCTCCCTGTAAACCCTATGGGGAAGTTCTACTCTGTCCTATAGGGTCACTATGAGTTGGAATTGACTCAATAGCAACACCTTTGGTTTTTTTTGGTTTTATAGGATGTGCAGGTGGAAATGTCTAGTATGGAATTGGACGCATGGGTCTGAGGCTGAGAAAAGAGGGCCTGCCTGGAGATCTGGGTGGTACTGACACTTAAATGTAGCTGAAACCATTGGAGTAAATGAGATCATGTCAAATGAAAAGTGTAGTAGACCAAGGACAGAACTTGGGGATAATCGACCTTTAAAGGGCCAACTGAGGAAGAAAGAGAATGAATGGTCAAAGTAGCATGAATCAAATCAGATCATACTGGTAAGCCAAGAAAAGAGCATATTCGAAGAAAGCAGAGAATGATTAACAGTGCCAGTATAGAGGGGTTCCATAAGAGAAGGGCTAAACCAAGCTGCGGTGGGAGAAGAAGCAAATGGGAACTGAGGAAACTGGGCCAGCAAGTGCAATAGTTCTTGAGAAATTTGGACAAAAGGGGGATGAAAGGGGTTGAACTGTAGCCAGAAGGGTTATGAGGTAAAGTGAACTTTTTTGTTTAGGATAGAAGAGATATGAATGTGCAAACAGACCAAGAAAAAGGAAGACACTGAACACAGCAGAGAAGAGGAGGATGATAACTAATACAGCAAGGTCCCAGAGCAGTGGGAGAGGATGGGATCAAAAGCACAGATGGCTGGACTGGTCTTGAACAGAGGAAAGAAGCTGCGGACTGATATGAATCTACATAAGTTTAACAACAAGGTGATAGGAAGTTGATGGAAATCAACCAAGATGGCCTCTATTTTCTCAATCAAGAAGGGAGCTAAGCTCTAGAGTGGAGGAGATACTGGGCATTGAGATACTGGGGAAATGGAGCAATCTGGAGCACATGCTGAGAACACTGGAAGAAGGAGCTGACAAGAGAAAGGATCAATAAGCACCAGATAAGGTTGGAAATAGTAAATTTATAGCAGTATCCATCTGAATATGATTTTCTTCAGCAATGCTCAAGCTCAGTCAAGAAGTTATTGACCCATGTTGGGGTTTTGCTGGGATGATATGACAGAAAGAAACTGATTAAAAGGAATCTAGAACAATAGTTTAATAATAATAATGATGATGATGATAAAGTAATAACAACAACAAAAATAAATACAGCAGCTAATATTTCTTGAGAGACTACTATGTGCCAGGGATTACTGTATATATTTTACATTTATTATCTCGTTTAATCTTCTCAACATATCTGATGATATTTGACCCTGTCCACTGCCCCTTTTACATGTTTCTAACACTCCATACTCATAGCACTTATGATTCAGCTCTGTAGCGCTAGTTTGATTATCTATCTCTTCACTAGACTATAAAACTCAATCACTGAATACTGAGTACCTGAAATAATGTTAAAAATGAATGAATGAATGAACGAAAGCAATCCTCATTTATATTATTCATGACCACCAACAGGAAGTAATCAAGTCCTGAATATAATACATCTCCAAAAAATGAGAGCCACATAGGTCAAGAGAATGTAAAAAAAGAAAGAGAATAAAATAAAAAAGGAAGCCACTATCCAAAAATCAAGAATTATTTGATTCCAACTGACAAAAAGAAAATCACTGCCGTAAAGGGTATGATAGATCTTTTCTGTTAGGATCTCATCTAAATCCACAGACTTAAGAATGAGTAATTCGTAGGCACCTTACTGTTTCAAGAGGACCCTTCCTTTAACAATAATAGTACAGCTACAAAACATATTCCTTCACTCATCCTTTCATCCTTCTCCAAGTTACCCAAACATTTCAGTAAATTTTGATATCTTGTACCTCAAACTGCCAAAGTATCCTTATGCATCTCTTAAATCTCTAAAAAGACTCAAACAAGCACCACCCTCATGATACACACTCACCGGGAGAGCTCCAGGGAAGTGAGCAGACTGGGTACTGGATAAACATTCACTACTGTCAGCCCTAATAAAAAACAAATAGGTGTTAGTGACATTTTCTCCTAAGAAAGTTAACTGAGAGTAAACAAGGGAAAAGTAGCTTAGTGGAATCACCAGAGATAAAACTGCTGTCATCTACTGAGATACACTAAAGATAAAAACTATTGGGTAACACTGACTACTTTTAACTGCCTGATCCCAATTTGTCATAACATAATGTTAAATGTTAACAGTAACCATTTAGCATTGTAACTTAAAAAAAAAATTAATGAACAGTTGCATTCTTACTGGCAATATTTTTAACTTTTAATTAAGGTATAGTATAAATTAGGAAAAGTGCTGCAATTATATCAGTGAAATTTCAGAAACTGAACTCATTCATGTAACCAGTACCCAGATCATGAAACAGAACTTTGCCAGCTCCCCAGAAGCTTCCCCTGGTCCCCCCTTCCAGTCACTACCCCCACAAGGATAACACTATCATGACTTACAATACCACGCATTAATTTTGCCTGTTTATATAAGTGTATATATACCTTATTTATTATTTTTTGTCTGGATTCATTTATTCCACATTATGCTTGTGGGATTTGTTCATACTGTGTGTAGTTGTAGTTCATTCATTCTCATGGCTGTGCAAAATTTTTTTATATGAATATATCACAATTTATTTACTCATTTTAGAGTTGATAGGCATTTAAATATTTTCCAGTTTGGGCTATTATGAAAAGTGCTGCTATGAACACTTTCTCCATGTCTTTTGTAGACTAACATAAGCATTTATGTTGACTATAAAACTAGGAAAGGACTGCTCAGTACAGGATATGCTTATGGTTCAACTTTAGTAGATACTATGAAACAGTTTTCCGAAGTGGTACCAATTTACAGTCCCATCAGCTGACACTGGTATTTTTAGTCTTTTTCGTTCATCATTTCTGGCAGGTGTGTACTAGAGTCACACTGGAGTTTCAATTTGTATTCGCTTCATAATCACTAGTAAAGTTGAGCACCTTTTCCTATACTTATTGATCATTTTTTTTTTTTGGATAACCTATTTTGTGAAGCTGAGTTCTTTACTTCTGAGGCATCAAACTGCAAGTGTTCATGTGAATTCTTCCAGGTTTGTAAAATTTAAGGATTCTACAGAGTAGCTAACTTAAAACCAACCCTAGTTAGTACATTATTGTGACAGAATCTCAGTTACTAAGAAGGGCTTCGTGTATGTCAATGGAGACCTATTCCAATAGGGCTAGTCATTCAGATTCTCTAGATACATTAAGAGTAGAGAATGAGCCTAATGATAAATATTTCCATGGCAAAGGACCTACTAACATCTCTCAAAACCTATAAACAGTACAAATTAACACTCGTCAGCTTTGATACTATTCTGCCCTAAGCAACTGATCTAAGCTACAACTGAAACTTCTATAACATGAAAAATCATGATGAAAACAGATGTCTTAACTTTTTTTATACTAATTACATATTTTACAAATACAGAACAGTAAAGAGGATAAATATTGAACACTCTTTCACTCATCATCTAGCTTTTAACAAATCTTTGTTTTGTTTTTTTAACAATTAAATTATTACCAATACCAAGAGGTAAACACCATCCTAAATTTAATTTTTATCATACCCATGAATCCTTTTATACTATTAGTATATACTTACAGCTATGAAAGCAATATTTTTTATTTTAAAATCTGATATAACAAGCATAGTGTATATGCTATTCTGTGCTTTCTTTTCTCAAAAATGTTTCTGAAATTTATCCACGAATTAATATATGAAGCTGTGCAATATTCTATTGTAGAATACATCACTATTTACCCATTTTCCTATTAATAGCCATATTTTTGTCCAATTTTTTTCACTACGACAAACAATGCTGTGATAAACATTCTTGCACACAACTCCCTGTGCACATATGAGTGTCTTTGGTATATATCCCAAGCAGAAGAACTGGTAGCATACGGGTTATTTGCATGTTTGACTTCTTGAACACTGTCATATTGCTCTCCAAAGTGGTTTTACCAATCGATCCCACAACTAGCAGTGTATGAGAGTCCCCGCCTCACATTTTTGGCAGTACTCAACATTATCTTTTTAAACTTTTCTTATCCGATGAATATAAAATGGTGTTATTTTAATTTGCATTTCTCTGATACTTAGTGAAATTGAACATCTTTTCCTTTAATTCTTTAAACAGAGAGAAAGTAATTATAATTTCTGTGGTAAACAGGAGCTCTCCTTAAAAAGGATGGCCTCAATAGACATGAGGCCTTTTAAACTGAAAAATATTCCTAGAGCAAACCACTATTAAAATGAGGGGATTTTAATTCTAAGAATGAGGCAATATAAGCTTTCAGACCAGAGGCTGGCAAAGTTTTTCTGTAAAAGTTCAAATAGTAAATATTTTAGGCTTTGTACAGCATATGGTCTCTCTTATAACTACTTAATCTGGTCACTGTACAATGAGAATAGTCACAGACAGTATGTCACCAAATAGTGAGGTTGTGTTCCAATAACACTTTATGTTCATGAAAATTTCCATTTCATATAATTTCCACATGTCATGAAATATTATTATTCTTTGGATATTTTCCACAACCATTAAAAAAATGTAAAAACCATTATTCATGGGCCATACAAAAAAAAGGTAGTGGGCTGAATTTGGCCCATGGACTGCAGTTTGCCAACCCATGTTTTAGACTATAAATGACATTCCATTTTGAACATCTTGCCCCCGTCCCGTTATTTTGCAAAATGTCTCTTACTATGCTCACTCAGTGAATCTCAAAGTATCTTGCTATGTATTTTTATGCCTATCTCAACCACTTAAGTGTTGACAGCAAACTTAAAAGATAAAGCTAGATCTCAAAGAACCTCAAACTCCATTTTGCAGAGTGTCCAAGGAGCATCACAGATACCATTGTTCTTAGAAAGTTCTGACTAGACCTGCAAGAGAAAAAAAACAGGAGGATGGATGATACTTACTGTTCGAGTTGGCATAGAGAGTTCGAAGGGAGAAGCCACTGAGTGTTAGCTCTCTCAGTTGGTTCCGCTCGCAATGCAGCTGCTCCAAACTACATAAGGAGCTAAGATCTAAGTCAGTCAGTTTATTGTCTCGCAAATCCATGTGGGTGATGTATTTATTGCCCTCCAAATTTTCAATAATCACGGTCTTCAAACGGTTCATCCTAATATTAGAAACAAGAAAATAAATTCTATTAAATGTGCTTACCAAAAGAGAAACAGGAGAGATGTGGTCCCTTTTTCTCATTCCGAAACAACTTAAGGATCTGACTACTTGTCTAATTTTGCAAGGCACTATATATATAAGTAGCCAGAGATAGTTTTAACCTTGAATTCTATGTTTATACACTCAAACAATCCAAATTAGCAAATACACGTACAAAAATAAAGAGAAGGACAAAATGGACTATATCCACAGTTAGTTAAATACTTACATCCAAATAACTAATAGACTATTGCTGTCGAGTCGACTCCAACTCATAGCAACTCTAATTTACTGGGAATAGGATAAAGGAACAAGAAGACGAACAAAACCTTTTGGATTAGTGAGCAGCAAGGCAGTCATGGGAGGACCATGTCAAGATAATGAGGAAGTGGCCACACTTCCTCCTGTCACTATGCCTGCTCTATCTCTAGTTTGAAAGATTCATACTGTATTAATTGAGAGGAAAATGGTCTGTATGTTAAAAGCATATGGAATAGTTCAAGAGCAAATCACAGAAAATGACTTCTTGGTTCTTTTCTATACAAGTACATGATTTAATATATGCAGGCCTATTCTAATTTTCCTATATTCTAATAAACCTGTTATTATGTTCTTACTGGGGACATCAATGGCTTATTGTAAATGATAGAACATCCAGTAATTGTTTTTTTACCAACTTTTTAAACATATTATAGCCAGAAAAATTCTTGGCTACTTTATCTTAGTAGTGAAACCTTAAAAATGTTAATTATACTACAATGGATATTAAGAAAAATTCCACTGACTCAACAGAAAAATGGGCAAGTTTTATGAAAAAATACAAATTACCAATAAACATATAAACATATGCTCAACCTCATAAGTAAATAAATGTTGATTAAAACAACAAAATACTATTTTCTATTTATTAGACTGACAAAAATGGAAGAGATTGCTTTCACGTGGTAAGGAATGTCACTGAGTTGTATACGTAAAAAAATGCTGAAATGGCAAATATATATATTTGTACCAAACATATACACACAAATGACTGCTAAAATCAACTTTGATAACAATGTAAGGAAATAAGAATTCTCATAAAATGTTGCTGGGACGGTAAGTTAGAACAATCTTTGTCAAGGCAATCTGACATACCTAACATGTGTACAGGAGCCCTCGCGGGACAGTGGTTAAAGTGCTCAGCTGCTAACAAAAGGTCGGCGGTTCGAACCCACCAGTCACTCTGTGGAAGAAAGATTGGCAGTCTGCTTCCATTAAGATTTACAGCCTTGGAAAGCCTATGGGGCAGTTCTACTCTGTCCTATAGAGTCGCTATGAGTTGGAATAGACTGGATGGCAGTGGGTTTGGGTTTTTTATCATGTGGTACACCTATCTCATTCTTAATCTGTTAAGGAGGGATAAGTGAAGTTCTACTACAGCTTTAGAAATACATATTTCTATACTGTTCTAAAATCCTAATGTTTTAAAGAAGTCTTTATAGAGAGAAAACTTAATAAAGGTCCATCAGAGGTCAAACTAAAGGAAGATATGCTAAAGAATGACCTTACCTTAAATCTACATGTTTGATATGGCTCATCCTGTTCAGCACCCCTAGGTTTAGGACTTCTAGTCGATTTCCTGCCATAACCACTTTTTCTAAGGTAGTGAGCTTCACATAAACCTCAGGAATTTGACTAAAGTGGTTGAAGGAAATTCCCAGGGAGCAAAGCTGCTGCAGATTTCCCAATTCTTCAGGTAAAGTAGTTAGAAAGTTGCCATCAAGACAGAGGATTTGAAGACTGTAGGAAGAAAACACAAGACATTTTATGAAGAATTTAACTGGAATGGATAGAACCAAAATTATGGATTCTGCCTTATGTCACTAATTTATTATGAACCCAATAATGGTAAAATGTCCCAAATCTCTTATCTATAGAGACTTAATAGATTACGTATACATAACTTGCACAAATGTTCTAACACTGAAAATAGTCAGAGCCTTTGATGTTGAAACTGAGGGCTTAGTCACTGCTGTAGGCAATTAGATTTTTTTGTTGTCAAAAACTGCTGCTGATTATCTGAGGTGAAGGAAGGACAGCACACACTACAGGGGAAGTCAGCACAACTGGACAAAACCAAAGCTAAGAAGTTTCCTGAATACAATCAAACACTTTGAGGGACAGAGTAGCAAGAGTAGGGATCTAGGTACCATGCTTTCAGGGGACATCTAGGTCAACTGGCGTAACAAAGCTTATTAAGAAAATGTTCTGCATCCTACTTTGGTGAGCGGTGTCTGCGGTCTTAAAAGCTTGCAAAAGGCCATCTAAGATGCATCAACTGATCCCAACCACCTGGAGTAAAGGAGAATGAAGAACACCAAAGACACAAGGAAAGTAGTAGCCCAA